TCAGAGGTTGGAGTGTTACTTTGGTCAAAGAGCACTTGGCTAATGTGGGTTGGACTTCTGTTTTTAATTTGCTGCCATTTCCTCTGCTGACGAGGATATCTAGGAAGGTTAATGTTTGTTGTTTTCTTCTTCCCGTGTGAATTTTATTTCTCTGAAGATGTTGTTTCACGTATCTTCTCTAGTTCTTAGCCCATTTTTAATACAATCTTTTACTTCTTCCATTTCAATTTTCAATAAAAATTTATACATTTTACCTGTTACATGTTCATCATTTGTAAATTGTTCAACTTTAAATTTTGTCTTCTGTTCAATTCCAAATATCTTATTATCCATATATGCATATGGACATTGGCTGTGTATCGTTGATAACTAAATCCTCTGCACAAATTGCTCTTTTGGTTTCATCTTATATTCTCCATGTTGCTGTTCTCTTGATAAGTTAACAATTTTTCTTTACCAACCATTTATTTCCCATAAAATGCTTCTTGTGCTGAGAACCCATAAAAATATTTGGCACAATCTGGATTTATATCTGTTCCATATTCTTAATATGGCACTTCTAATATAATGATTCTTAAAGTCTATATTAACCTTAACTTTATCACATCACAGAAAACAATGCCATCAGAACTTCAGATTGTTCCCTTCTAATTCTAAAATTCTAAAGTATAATTTTCAGACCACAAGAAACCTTAACCCCAACCATCTGTTCAACTTAGGTCAGATCCCACTTGAAATACAGAATCCAGTTCTATATTCAGAGAAATTGAAATGGGTTCATAGAGGGGAAACACGTATGGCCAAGAGATGGGGAACTATTGAATGGGGGAAAATTGAATGCAGTTTAGGTTTGGGAAAAGATGACTGAGAAGAGATACGGTAACACTTTTCAAATACTTGAAAGGACATCATGTAAAAGAAGGTGAGAGACAGGATTTGTTTTCTCTGATTCTGGAGCACAAGACAGAGAAAAGTGGATTTAAGTTACAGGGAGGCAAATTCTGATTAAATGTTGGAAAAAACAACCTAATAGTAAGAGTAGCTTGAAAGTGGAACCAATTATTTGGAGTTGATGGACTCCTCTTCGTTGGATTTGTTCATATGGAGTCAAGATGCTCCTAGGCCCTCTAGGATGCTTTAATGAGGATTCCTGCCCTAAGCAAGATGTTGGAATTGATGGCCTAAATCCACCTGCTGGCTGGGAAATTCTGAAAGTTGAAGTTGCATCTACATGGAGGGAAGTGTGTATTTGGGTGCCCCAGGGCTCTGTTCTGGGTCCAATGCTCTTTGTTTGGATGAGGGGATAGATGGAGAACTATCAAATTTGCAGACAACACCAAGCTGGCAGGAATAGCTTACACTCCAGAAGATAGGCTTAAGATACAGAAGGATCTTGACAGACTTGAACATAGGGTGCTATCTAACAAAATGAAATTTAATGGTGAAAAAAGTAAGATTCTACATTTAGGCAAGACAAACCAAATGCACAGGTACAGTATTTATTATTTATTTATTTATTTATTAATTAAATTTATATACCGCCCTATCTCCCTTGCGGGACTCAGG